CCCTTTAAAACATAATCAAAGCAAAGAAATACCTGACTGGTGCAACAGGGCCAAATCCCTGGTGATGCCCACGAAGTTAATGACATTGCAACTATTTCAGGGCAGACAGTTTATAATCCTCTGACCACATTGTACAGGAGGGGAAGAGGCATTGGCAGCTCCTGAAGATGGAGCGAGACAGCAAAAGAGGGAGCGCAGGATGTGTTTATTCTCGGGAATGAAGACGGCGAGGAACGTCTCATTCTGCCGCAGGGATTAGAGCTGTTCCTTTCTGTAATTGAGAGCTTTGCCCGCGGCAGCTCTGGAACAGAGAATTGTATTTGAGAGCAGCAAACATGATCGGATGGCTTAACGCAACCCAGCAAGCGGAGTGGTGTGGGGACAGGGGGAGGCGAGGGAGCCGCGAGCGCGGATGCCTGACTCCTGCTGCCTGCAGACGCTTTGAAACACAACCCTGCGTTTTTATGGAAACTCTGAATGTTGGAGAAGGGTGAACATGGTTTTCATTCTCATAAATGTTTTTCCAGCATGCAATGCTCTTCGGGCTCATTCCTTCTCCAGGGAGACGGTTCTGATTTCAAAGAACATTCGCGCTCCCTCCACCCCAGACCACCCCACTCCAACCTCAAAGAGGCTTCTCTGGAAAGAATTATTTTAAAGAGTGTTTTACCTTTTTGAGTGTTTTTCCTTCTTTCTTCTTTTCCCCCCTTTTAATTCTTTGAGCTTTCTTCTTCTTCTTCTTTTTCCCAGCAGCAGCCAAAAGCTTCTCTCTCCCCCTCGGTCCTGCGCGTGTCAGAAAGTTTCCAGGCTGAGGGTTTATGTCGCCTTCCTCAATAACCTTCTTCTGTCAGACCCAGGCAGCGCTGGAGCAAGAGCCTTTGCTAAGAAGCCTCCTTTCAGGAAGTGAGCAGTAATAAGAGAGCAGCTTGCAGGCAGCATGGAGAGGGGCTGCTCAAATAAAGAAAAAAAAAAAAAAAGGGGGGGGAAAAAAACTTTGCTCAGGAATTTTGCCAGGATTATCCAAAAAAAAAAAAAAGGGAAAAAAAAAATCCCCAAAGCCAGAGGGCTGTAAAAGTCCCGCCCTGGCTGCTGACATCAGTGCAGAAGGCAGGTCTTGCCTGCAACGCTATAAAACTAATCGGCTTAGTCTTACTCCATAGGAGCAGGAAGGGATCGTTCCCAGCTCAAGGGCCGATCCGACACCCCAACATGAACGTGATAAGGCAAAGAGGTCACTGATGATGGCACACAGCACACAAAGCACAGAAAGCAAGCCGGGATTTGGGTGTTCCCCCTCCTCCAGCAGCTCCCATCCTTCATTTTAACCGTAGCTTTCAAACTGCTTTTAAAACACCAGTGCCTGTCTGATGAAATGTCCTTACCAAAAGCCTCTGTGCTCCCCAGTAGTGTTAGGTATTGGCTTTAAGGTTAAAAAAGCCCTCATTAACTTGCTCATGTTTTAAGATGTCCGTTCCCTCCCCAGTTACATCATTTGTGCCCTGCTGGCTCCGGCACTGCCATAATTTCTCTTGTTGTGCTGCCACCATGGAGTGTCCCACAGAGGACAATACAAAGTAAAGAATAAACACTGCAAATACATTAAAATGCTCAAAACAAAGCCCTCTCAGGACATATAAAACAATAAGCAATAGTAAAGGGCAAGAGCTCATTTCCTTCTTTCTTCTGAAGTCATCTTTTGAGATTAGAAAGCTGAATATGCAAGCCTTGCTAAAGAGAGAATTACCTGGAAATTCAGCAAATGTTATAAAAACAGGCCTTTCCACAGTGCCAAGCACTGCCCAGTTTTTCCCTGGATACAGAGAGGGGCCCTGGGGCAGGACACAGGGAAAGGATGGCAGGACCAGGCAGTGGTCCTCCAACTTGAGCCCATCTCTGGGGACAGAAGGATCCCAAAACCACATTCAAGGAGCCTTTGAAAAGATCTGAATGGAGAGTAAAGAAGTGAAATGCTCCTGGGGGAAGATGTAAGCTGAGTCTGAGACCACACTGCTTGACTATGAGACTCCTCTGCCCAGGAGAGATGGCAAGAAGGGGCTCTATGAGGCAGGCAGGGGGTTTGTAGCCCTGTGGTGTGGGTGCCACGTCTGCAGGACAAGCAGCTCCTCCAGACTCTGTGTCCTGCCCTGGCCCTTCTAGGTCGGTACGTTGCCAAATCCACAAGATCCAGCCCTTGGGCAGGCCTGAGCAGCCAGGGCTCTTGGTAATGGTCCTGGGTGCCACCCAGGCTGACCCAGCACTGGTCTGTAACCATCTGACCATTAGACGGGAATGGAGACAGAAAAAGCCACAAAGGCTTTTTGTCCCAGCCCAACATCCTACCCCAATGCTGGCCATGGCATGCCTCAGAAAAGTGATTAAGAATAAAGCATGAAGCTGTGGTGCTTTTTGTGGTATATCCTCTTACATCTACTGCTATCAAGAGACTAAGTGCAGGGCTGAACCCAAGCCAGAAGCTCTATCTTTGCATTTAACAGCCAAAATTCATCTTCTTCCATAAATCTGTGTAAACCTTTATTGAAGCCCTTTGAACTCTGCTCCTTGGATGGAGCAGCAGAGTGACCTGAGCAGGAGATGCCCAGGAGGGACCTCCTGAGACTCTCTTGATCAAGTATTTGGTACTGCCTGGTAGATGTGCTCACCCTAATAGCCCTGAAAAGACAAGGGAAAACATCCTTTGCTCCCAGAAGGAGATGCTAATGGTGGGAGCTCACAGCCCCCATCCCTTGGAGCATCCCAACACATACACTCTTCCTTACAGGCATTTAGACTGGAAAGGCCTGGCTCTCCATTTGAAAACTGAGTTCAAAGGGGCTGGAATTGCTGGGCTGGATTTCTGGCCGATTCCCTGGCTGGGTGGAAAGAGCGGTTTCCTTCCTCCCCCAGCCCTGCTGGCCATTGTCTGAGCCCCCAAAGCACACACATACAAAGTATTTGGGGGTTAACTGAATGCTGCTGCTTCTGGCCAGGGAAAAGCTAATTGCTCAAAGCATGGCCCAGAGCCATACCAGGGGCAGCTGCTGATACATGCATACAAGCATCTGCTGATGCTTGTCTCCAAACACGCTCAGGGCAAAATGAGGAGGGACTGAGATACAGGTGCCCATCTTCCCTGCTTCCCTGTTCATTGCTACCTGTCCCCTTCCCTTTCCAAAGAAACTTGCTTTTCCCTGATGGGCAGAGTCTCCAGTCTCTCCTGGATGCTAAATACAGTGTTAGAGACTCCTGACACACAAGGATACACAATCCGTGTGCCTTGGGCCAACCCTGCAGCCTGGTACCCAAGACCAGTCCTGCTCTGAGGACCCTGTTAAACTTGTACTAGGCCAGCTCAAAAACTGGGTCTTACTCCAGTCTCAACCTGTCTCTGAGGGGGTGATGGAGCCACCTCAGAGCTGTGCACACCTTCCCAAACCTGCACAAGAGCCTCAAAAACAGGGAGAGGTAAAGGGACAGGATACTCACAGAAAAAAAGAGGGTATTGGACTCTGCCTGAAAAAAGGGTTTCACAAGCAATTGTCACTGCAATTCATATCCAACATCAAGCCAACGAGTTGCTTCATCTTTCTAGGATGAAGAGATGAGAAGACACTTGAAATCCTGTCCCTGTGCCTCCCCTGCATCCTCACTCACCCCTGGGATGAGCACAGCACCAGCACCCAGTCCCTGATGCTCAGCAGCCTGGTGACACTGCACCCTCCTGTGGCTACACGTGGCAGAAGCCGCATGCTCTGGTCCTGCGAGGTCCAGGCTGGTACAAACCCTGCAGGGACGATGCATGAGCCCTGGGGAAGCACAAAGAGCAACGATTCCAGGCAGGCTTTGTGCTGTAGCTTCTCAGTGCTGCTGGGCAATGCTCAGAAACACCCAGCGTGCCCAGCTGCAGCGCCAGCTTGCACAGCACTGAGGCTAGTGCTCATTTTAGGGCTCAAAAGGCAGCAAACTCTATCCTGGGTGCCATTAAAACACATAAGGAATGATGCTGAGGCCTGATGGGGTAATTTTGTAGAACCATTTTGTACATAAAATATTCTCTCTTTTGCTATGTCTAAACTGCACGGCCTGGGCAAAGTTCCCAGCTCTGGCTCTACATCACAGCCTGGCCCCAGGTCCATGCTGGGACTCGCTACTTGGCCGCAGCCTAACCCTTTTTATGGTTGTACAGTACCTAACACAACAACAGTCCATTCAGCCTTTTAGCTACTGCTGTAATAAACAAATCACTCTGCTCTGTTTGTAGCCCAAACACTGCAGGTTGAGAACCTGCAAGTGAAACCAGCTGTAACCAAGTGGGTTTGGTTTGCCACTAGTTCAGACACGTGCAAACTAACTGCCCACCGGTGAAACTCGGCTTCAACAGTCCCAGGTGTTGGATAAAATGGGGTTGGCATCTCCCAAACCTGTAAATCCAGCCTGAAGCTTTGAAGCACAGCCATCAAAAAGCCTTTATCAAGATCATTGTACATCACCTTGTGGGGATTTAGGGGAAGGACGCCTTGCTGAGGGGCGAGGACTGAGCTCTCTGCTATCACTGCAAGGGGGGTGTGTTGGGATGCTGCATTTTCATCACTGTAAACTGCCCAAGTGACTCATCCCTTCTATCTCAGGATCTCACCTTGTCCTTGGAAAAATCTTTACTGTGGATGTCTGAGTAAACCTTGTGTACAGCCCCACCTCCAAGTGTAAGCAAAGGGCTCCTCAGGGGGGATTTGGCAATGAAATGCCGTTCAGTTGAGTAATGCTGAAAGATAGCTTGCGTTTTGCATATCTAACCTTATTACCATATGGTTTTATTCCAATCAGTCCTAACAAGAGCAAGCTCAACCTGACAAGAACAGGATCCTTGTCCCAGCTTCTTTTACAATAGAGTCTTCTGCCTGCAATGAGACTTTGGGATTCTCCATCCACCTCATTGAGGCATCTCTTTGCATTCAGCAGACAGAAGTCACAGTGCTGGAGCCTTTCTTCCCATTCACCTGAACACTGACCCTCTACCCATCTCTACCAGGTCAATGAGGTGGCAGTGAGCTGTTTACCACGGCTGGTGACGAAACACAGAAGCTTTTCCCTTCTGGAGAGGGAGACATGACCCTCAGGAGCAGCTGAAAATCCTGCCAAAACCAAGCACCATTTGGTGGGACTGGTTTAGGATGGTTCCTAGCCCAGCTGGTTGGGTTATATGGCCATTTTAGCACAACAAGAACTAAACAGAAAGCAGGGTAGGAAACGTAGGCTAGGAGAGGCTTCTTGAGTTGCTCAGCCTAGCTCTTGACCATCACAAACCACAGCTCCAAAGGAGCCCTACTCAGAGACAGCTCTTTACCACCTTCTTCAGATCCGTTTTCTTCCATAGAAGACCCATGCCCTGGCACTGAGAAGCTCTCTGAGCCCTTTCACCCTTCCGAGCTACACAGCTTTTGTTTTCTCTTCTTTCCTTTCCTGTGCAGCAAGGAAATAGGTCACATTTCAAAGAAACCAGCAAACAGAGGTTAGCGAATGCTAGGCAGCGCACTGGATGCTGTGGCCCCGTCCCCTCCCATCTTCCAAAAGCAACGTATTTCTCACTCGCCAGAGAAAACTTTCCCTCTTTTTTCCTTTCTGTCTTCAAAATCGCTGTCGCCAAGCCCTGACAAGACACCCCACCCATCTGCAAGCCAGGTAAGAGGCACTTGTTTTGCTGTTGGTACCTTTCATAGCTGTTAACGCGCCATGGCTGCTTCTTTGTCTCGTACCTTTCTGCGCACTGTGGAGCACTGGGGGTTTGGTGGCAGGAGGGGAGATCCTGTGACATGTTGGTGTCAACAGGCCCAGATTTATTCACCATGCGACTGCTCTGCCTGTTCTACTCTTTACTCCATTGGTTCAGAAAAAAACCTGGTGTAAGTTTAGGGACCATTGTCCTCTTTTTGAAGTCAGGGGTGGATTTAGGTCAGAAGATGCCGAAACAACAGACTGTAGTCCAATATTCAGGCCAAATGTTCTCTTTTTACCCCCGGACATAACATCAAAACTTGTCTCCTCTGGGAGTTTCTCTTTAAACTGCCTACCAGCCTTAGTGGCAATGTGGGGACATTTAGGATACCTGGCACCTGCTGAATAATGCTCCAAATACTTGAGAAGGACTTCAGGGATTTCCTACTGACAAATACACCAGCAAATATACCCAAAACCAGAGGCCTCTGTCAAACTCACATTTACTTCCTTCTATTTCTTCGTCTGTTTTGCTCTGCACTTGTCTGTGAAAAACAGTTCCAAGTCCCATCAATTCAAGGTTATGGAATAAACTAGAACAAAGGAAAGTTGAGATTAAACCTCAGAAAACATTTCCTAATGGGCAGATCTATTAGACTGTGGAATAAATGCTGCAGGGACGCCAGGGAAACCCATCACATGGGCAGAACTGGAGAGGGGACCGGAGAAGGGACGAACAAACTGATCTACATGGTTATGCTTTCTGATATATTTATGGTATCTGTATCTTCAACCTTTCATTGTCCTTTTCCCTCTGGAGAAGAGAAAGGGTCAAAGTCTCTAAAAAGCTTGCTGAAGCTCCTGGGAATGGGATCTCCTAAAGAAACATGGATGATGCCACAGCAGCAGTTAGAATCCACACATATACACGAGTGTGTTCAATGACTTTAAAAGTTAATTCCCATGAAGACCTTAACCAGAAAGAGGGTTTCCTCAGAACTGTCAGACAGGAAGGATTATGCCACAGTCTCTGTAGAGCCCTGTAAGGCAACTGGCTTCACAGAAAGCAGAAAACCTCAGAGGCACCGGGCTCTGTACATGATCCAGGCTCACTCAACCAGCTACGTAAACCTTGGCTTGAGCAGCCCAAGTCTGAAAGGTCCAATATGGTCAGAAAGGACAACAGATGTGTCAGTTAAGCCAAGCTTTGACTCACTCAAACCCCAAGCAGGTGGGATCAGCAGCACGAAAGCTGAGACGCCAATGGCACAGGATGCCACTGAGATGATGGTTCTTTCATGTCTAATCATTGTGTTGGTCTGAGTTGAGTGATGTGACTGGGAACAGAAAGATGCAGGGAGCAGTTGCTACCAAGGGGCAATGAGAAAATTAATCTAGAGTGTTAGAAACACACACAAGTACAGAGAGCTGTTTTCATACAACTTAAACCCCCCCACATTTTGTTTATCACTTGCTTTCCCAGGGATCTCTGCTAACTCATACGGTAGCATCAGGTGAGAATGTCAGACTAGGTTAAGAATTGAAGTGTAATACTTGCATAGTCCTTTCCTCACCGGTGCAGGAATATGCCCTTCAAACACAGTTTTCATCACTCAGTGTGCTTCCTTAGTCTTGTAATAACCCCAGAGGTGCCAGGAAAGGCCCTCCTGGGTATGGAATTGCATGGGCAGAGCAGAGATCAGAGCCAGGCTGGAGAGAGCCCTGAACAGATTCCAGAGGCCATGGAGAACATGGGGCAGCTTTCTACAAACTCCATACAGAGCCAGCAAACAAAGTTATAGCCACTGTAAGGGAGGCAGAATGGCTAAAGCATGAACTAAGGTCTGAGATAACTCTGCTTCCCTAAATTCTATTCAAGTAACTGTAACAAAAAGCCTTTGCCATTATTTAGAATAAACCAAAAGCCCTGTGCAGATCTAACCCATTATTTCTCTATGCCTCTTTTATACTTGGAGATAGAGATAACAAACTGCCTGTTAGTGGAACATTTCAACACTCAGAACAGACCTTTTCATATAGGAAATGACTGATGGTGAACACAAACTTCCACTACCACTTGCAAGTCACACGCTTTGCCCAAACACATGCTGGTCACACACAAACACATCCTTACCCTTCAGAGCTAATAAGCCTTTGCAAGAAGAGCAGAGCTGGTCAAGTCCAAGTCTTTAGCTTGCCCTGCCTCCAGTTGTATTCATTTTCCTCCTCAGGAATTTCCTATGACCGCCCTGCAATCCTGCACAGTCTGAAGTTTAATCCTCATAACACAAACCAGCAAATACAGCCTCACTCTGCTTTGAAACAGTGCTCAAAGAAATCCTGAACAACAGCAATGAGGCAAAGTTTGCGCCTCCATGTTGATGAAGGCCTACCAAGACTGTCACTAACCATCAGGACAATGTTTTACACATGCAGTTTTGGAAGCTCAGCTGGATGTTGCAGAATTCCCCTCCTTGTTACAGATTAGATTTCAAGCTCAGATTCCGCTTTTGTCTTCTAAAACTCCAAGCAGAACGACTGATGCTCAATAAACTTTGCTGTCAAGCTGCACATTAGGCTCTGGGCTGAGTTTCTACTTTATTTGCCTAGTTTGTAATCTTAAAGCTCCAGATCTGCCAGTGCCCAGGCTCCAGTGAACCCCAGGGTAGCTCAATCACTGCTCTGGCCCTTCCTACAAACCTGGGCAAATATTGCCTGGGATGTTAAACATGCCCTCGGCATACAAGAACCATCTCCCACTTCTCTGTGGCTACTTTGGTGAGCAGCAAGTGCCAAAGAGCAAGCGTGGAGATCTTAAATTCATCACCCAATGGACCGTTTTCAGAAGCCCCTTGTGAAGGATGACCTCAGACTGCTTCTGCCTGCTGATTGCCATCGTCTCTCTGTTCATACCAGGGCAGATTAGCCAAAGACATCATTTCCTAAGTCACAGGAGCCTCTTAAGCCAGTAACAGCCTTTGGATTGTGGTGCTTGATTTGCTGCTACTCAGTGCCTGCCTCTGCACTACGTTCAGAGCTACCTGAGCTGGCTTTGGGACTGGAAACATGTGGCTGTGGTCACCCAGTGCAATGCTAGTGCAGGATCTTTGTGGGCAAGAGGTGTTAAAGGCAGCCACAGCTTGCTAAACACTTCTCCATGCCATTGGGCAGACCCTGCATGAGCTGAGCAGCAAATTCACACAGGATCTTCTGCAGGTGCATCACAACATAAGGATCCTTTGCAGCAACCCTGTGCTTGTACTTGGACACTGCTCCTGAGCATGCAAAAAACCCTCATAGGACTGAAGTTATTTGCAACTGCATAGCTAATCTGGACTGAAAGGGATGGCAGGAGGGTTTGGGCACTTCTCTCAGATGATGCAGAATTACTTTAGCAGGGACAGATGATGGGTTGGTCCAGTGAAGAACAGATTATTCACTTTTTCCCTTGCCCATCTGCTATCCTGCTCCTACCTGCCTCTTCTCCATCTCATTAAAAAACTCCCTGCATGCGGCTCTGGAACACATCACACTGGTATCTATAAAGCTGTTGGGATCTGCAGGTGGAAAGTTCACAAGGTTTCATTTAATCTTATTATTTGGTTTTATAAAGTGAAAATCATGACCCTCTTTCCATCAGATGCTTGTGCAGATCCCAGAGATTACTTGTGAAGTCATATATGTATGGTTTGCCCCTCCTTACTTATTTGAGATTGTATCTTTCATGCCCAGAGCTAAGAAAGCAGAGGTAGGAGTACCCAGCATAAATATGATATGACAACTAGAGCCTTATTTTATTAAGTTAATACAGCTCTAGGGAGGAGTGTGAGACTATGCACATTTCTACAAACCAGTTGAAGAAGCATCCTCCCTACATCCTACATCTGAAATTCAAGGACCTGTAGTCATTGTCATACAATCACAGAGTGGTTTGTGTTGGAAGGGACCTTAAAGCTCATCCAGCTCCCACCCCTGCCACGGGCAGGGATCCCTTCCACTGGAGCAGCTCCAAGCCCCTGTGTCCAACCTGACCTTGAGCACTGCCAGGGATGGGGCAGCCACAGCTTCTCTGGGCACCCTGTGCCAGCGCCTCAGCACCCTCACAGGGAAAAGCTTCTGCCTTCTATTTAACCTAACTCTCCCCTGTTTAAGTTTGAACCCAGGACAGAGGAATATCAGCGAGGGTCCTGCCAGACTCAAACTGTGCAGACGGGTACTCGGCACAGACTCCAGTGCTGTGGCTGAGCTGGGAAAGAAGCCAGCAAACACTGCCCTAAGGAACATGATTTTGATACAGGAGCCAACAATAGAGAAGAGCCCTACAGCCACAGCGAAGTGTGGCAATAGCTGCCAGAAGCACGGGTAGAGTTTCCAGTGGTGCCTGCATCCCTCCAAAACCCTGTTCCAAGGGCAGGGTTAAACAGCACCGGGTGCTCCTGGGAATTCAGCTGGGCCCACGCAAGGCAGGACATGCCCTGCAAGGCTTCCCTGGGACCTGGAAGGATTTCCACTCCATCTCTGCTAAGAGTGCTAAAGAAAAGCCTATTTACAACTAACTGTTGTTGCTGAGGCACACCCACTATGCAATGAGCTGTGAAAGCAACTACAATTGTGTGAGCAGTGCCCCAGCAACTGCCAGGAACATCCAGCCTGTCCCTCCATGGCTGGATGCAGTCCCACAGCCTAGAGCGCTCTGCAGCACAAAGCTCATGGACCACTATGTTCTCCTTGGAGAATCTGGGTTACTGGCATCCCACATGTCCAGATGGCAAGAGGAGGAGGCTACAGGAAGGTGAAGCAGAAGATGGGTGACCAGAAAGTTTCCTGTGAACCCTCCGCTGCTTGTTCTAGTGTCTTGTGCCCAAGGGGGAAAAGAGGATGGGTGCTTTCAATGGGGTGGTTGGGTACAAGGTTAGTACAAAGTTGGTTTTCCTTGGTGGAAAAGTTAAGGGAGATGGTGCATTTTA